AAAATTTCGATGACCTTGAAGCTCTTCCTTTTCTCTAATTTTTTATATGTAAACTTTACTTGTTAACCCTCTAGAAGAGAAGCTTATTATTGCCCTGAAACATATGAAGTTTGGTTTAACCTAATTGTCTAAATATCAAACATCTTAGGCAAAACATGTAGCAGGTATTTTCCAACAAATTATTGTTGGAAAATTTAAATCCCTATAAAATATGAAGAGAAAAAAATTAAAAATAGGCATAAACACTTACATATTTTTACACAGAAATTTAACCACATACAGCATGTAGCAGGACAGTCCAGTGACATTTTTTCTTGTGCCTTTTTTTCATTTATTACCCCTTATTTAAAAACGAAATAAAATGTTACTTGACAGACAGTATGTTAAAAATTGGAATGTCATGACAAAAAGTATATATTTAGAAGAGCAGATTCACAGGCATTCCCAGCGTGACCCTTCTATTACACATTGCTATCTTCAGCGCAGTTGCTTGGTTCACAGGTTACAGCATGTATAGTTAGTCAGGGTGAGAATCTTACCAATAAACTGATAGATTCCAAAATCTGCTAATATTTCTTAGCATCCTTGCCTAACCCATCTTGTGTGTATAAATGTATGGCTTTGACCTCGTCAAGTTTTCCAGCTTTTCTCCTCACCCTCTCCTCATTGTCCAACCCTCAAGTTCTCACTTTCCTTTTAATTGTGTTATACCATTATATTTATATTTCTTCTTTTCAGTTCTTATACTAGGGAAACTATGATATTTACATATGTGGGTCTGAATAATTTCATTTACAAGTATATCTTCAAGTGGCATTCACTTAAATATGAAGGCTTTGAGTTTATCATTCTTTATAACTGAGTAATACTACATTGTATAAAACTACCACAACTTCTTCAACCATTCCTCATGTGACAGGCATCTTGGTTGTTTAAAATAGAGTTCTAAATACAGTGTCACCCTGTTATAACTTTTAAGATTATATGAAAACATTAGCTATTTTTCCATTAACAATTCACATTTCTTGCCTATCAAAGTTTGTTTTTATAACACTTCAACTCTAAGTTTCATTGTATTATTTCCATTACCATAATAGTTATAATTATTGGTGAGATTATTCCTTACTTTGTTTACTGAATCCAACTTGGGGCATTCTTCCACAGCTTTTCAAAAGTAACGTTGTCAATGTGCATTGTAGAAACTCATGAAGGCTCCACACTTTTAGTCTTGGTTTTACCATTAAACTAATAAATACCATTAAACCATTCATGAAAAACACCCTGCCATCTTTGTATCCAGTGCATAAAATGAAAACATCCCCAGTAAGCTTAGGAAAAGAACAGAGTCTTTTGTCACCATTCCTGTTCAATATAGCACTTGCTTGACTGACCAGATCAATCAAAGAAGTTAATAAAATAAAATGAAATTGAATAGGAAATGAAAATATCAAATATTGATATTTGTTAAGGAGAAAACATTTACAGACAATCCATAAATCTGCACCAATATATTCTTAGAAGTAATAAACAAATTCACCTACGTGTTAACATACAAGACCAAAAAGTCAACAGTATACCTATACCTCAAGGTTGAACCACTTGGTAAAGGAAACAGGGAATGGTAACTAATAATATATAATTCATTGTGTGTAACTAGTTATGGGAAACTTATGAAATGAAATTTATGAAACTCATGGGTAAGAATTGATGAGTAACTACCAATTCTAAAATAGTGAACAGCTACTTGTGGGTAACTGCAGATAGATAATTATATTTAGACAATGATCATTTACTATCTAGTTATGTAGCTAGACACAGACAACCAGTGACAAATAACTAGTTATTTAAAGCTAGCAATGATTAGAAAATAATGGATACATAGCATAGTTCATTAATAAACTGTAGCTAGTGTTAGTAACTATATTTTGGTAAAAAGTATTAGGTAACTATTTGTCAGTAAGTAGTGATATTTCACTAGTAGTTAGTAATTAATGATAAATAACTAGTGGTGAGTAATTAGTAATTGATAAGTAGTTGTGAGTTGCTAGTGATGGGTACCTAATGATGGTTTACTAGCTGTTGGTATCAGAAATTTGGGAACTCTTAATGACTAATAAGTAATACATTAGTAAGTATTGGTAAGTAATGTTTTACTAATAATCATCAACTAGTACTTACAATTAGAGATTTCTGTCAAGTTGGGGATAAATAGTAATATTTAACGAGTTGTAGTTAAGTAGTTATGATTAGCTAATTTGGATAACTAGCAATGACTCAATAGTAACTGAACACTAGTGATGAGGTATTGGTAACTAGAATTTCTTCTTGTTCATGATGAGAACCTCACCACACCTAACCAAGCCAAAACCCTAGAATACACTTGGCACAGGCTGAAAAATGTTGAGTTTCTCCATCTGGAATAGGCCAAAGGAAGGAGTAATCTTGATTCAAATTTGCACAGTCCACTATACCTAGACAGCAGTATGTTCATGCAGCAATGGAAGGAGGGCAAATGAGTAGTGAGAAGCTGACTGGACCGTATGTGCTCCAAGTAGCACCTATTCTAGTATGAGTGCTAGCAGGCTGAGGATCTGAACTGGAGCCAAGAAACAGTGCTAGAGATAAGCATCAGGGCTCCTTCAAAAGTACCCCCATCAGCAACAGAGGACCTAAGCTCCTCCAATAATAAAGAAAGCTGAGTTCCAATCAGGAAATTTAATGTGGCAAGCTTCTCCATGAGGCTGAGAAGTGTGCCATCTTCTCTTCCTGTGCCAAGAAGTGAGGCTCAAGATGAGAAACAGAGCTCCTCCAAAGTTCATCGGGAAAGCTATCATTGTACGGTCCAAGAGAAGAAAAGTGCAAGAGAACTAGCAGCTTCAAACAGCTCCAGCATCTTCTCCAAACAGCAACCCTAACAGTTTTCCAGTTGCTTTTCCTGTTCTGCCTTTTATGCTGCTGGCAGCAACCCTCAGATGGACCTCCCACACCCAGCAACATGCTAATTAAAATCAGCTGCGTGTAAGAAGTTTCCCACCAGTTACCTAACTGCTACAGTGGCAGTCTGCACTTCTTTGATGCTGTAGACCCATTTCACAGCCTCTATCTCTTATGGGTAGCTGATAGGCTATTATATGATAGTTTGCAAACAGGGAATCCAGGTAAGTCCTACAAGATAACCATTGACCCGGGAAAAATGAAAGTCCTCTGCACAATCTTTTCCCCGGTTTGGTGGACTGAATTTCATAAATGCTCTTTATTATTTAGGAGCAACCTTTGCAATAGAAGCCAATGACAATTATGCATACACGCTGGAAAAGGAGGTGTGTCTATAGGAATTAAATAATCTGAAAAGAGATGATGACACACGGCCCATGTTTGGGGATATGCATGTCACTTACTCTGCATCCACATTTTTTTACATGTTGATTGTGTTCTGGTAAACCTGGTCATTATAAAAATTAGGTTGAAGTAGAGACTTCAACGAAACCATCATATTGGCCAAGGTGAAATAGTAAGAAAGGACTATGCATAGACATATGACAGGCTATTGCAGTTTGCATCTCATAAAATCTTGTTGATCATTTTACAATCATATCTTTGCAGGCAAAGGACCATTTCAAGGGAAATCTAAAAAGGAGAAATTAACCACAGATACTTGACCTGGGGCCATCATGAGCAATACAGTCAGGCACCATATGAGCGGTACAAATAAAGAGCAGAAACAAATTTTAATTGAAAGGAGAAAAAGCAGCTAAAATTACAAGATGATAGTCTTTAAAATTCTAAGATATTCAACAAAAATGTTCTAACTCAAGAAATTAAATGTTTGATATTACAAATAATAAGTTTCTTTATTAGGTACAGAGGCATGAAACCATAGTAAATACAATATTCTACATTTTCAGAAAATTCCAAAAAAAGTCAGGGATAAATATGACACCAACTATTACTACATATTAAATACTTCTATATACTTTTTACATGTTATGACATATATTGAAATAATACATAGATATGTCTCTCACATTAACAAGGGATAATGATACAACATAACTAGAAATATTTATGCAATTCTTAATAGGAAAACTTACTATATCACCATCAAGGTATTCCCCAATTAACTTCTAAATTTTCTCTCTTTCATTCTTATTAGTTTGTTGGTACAATATAGACAGAGACATAGATAGATAGATAGATAGATAGATAGATAGATAGATAGATAGACTATATTCATCATAGGGAACATAGTATATATCTTGATTCCTTTTTTTCCCCTAATCCCTTCTTCTCCCTAACATGTAAACTCAATATTTCCATTTTAAATTTAAGGACATTTACTATGAGAAATTGCCAAGATGCTTAGAATTCTAAAGGCTCTACTGAAGAGAAAGCTCAGCAACATAAGGTCCTGCTTGGCACGCTCAAAGACTCCAGTTTGATCCCCAGTACCACATAGTGTGCCAGGCCCAAATCTGGGCTTGGAGAAATCATTCATATGAAGCCAAATGTACCTAAATGAGGTAAAACCCAACCAACACAGGGCTCAGTGGTTTCTTTGTGTTCCCCATTAGCCAACATAATCAGCAAACATTCTGTGTCTCACATACATATCTATGCAGACTCTATGTTCAATAATAGTAAATGGATAAATAAAAGGTGACACCAATACATAAAGGAATACTGACAGTTTTGAAGGACAAATCTGAGACATTTGTAGAAAAAATAGGTGTGGCTAGGAAATATAAGATAAAGTGAGATAAATCACATACAACCTTAAATAACATGATATCTCTCAAAAGAGTAAAGCAAGATTCTCTCTTCCGATTGGATTTGAAACTGTCTCATTGCTATGTTTATCAATAAAACTTTGAAAAAGAAAAAAAAGAAATAATAGAGAGTTGTTCATGGAAGTAAGTCCTATGTAATAATCCAATATCACAGTGCAAAAGAATGCATCCTTGTTTCAGATCCTACATATGTTTTAGAAAATCATTTTTAATTCAGTAAGGCTTATTTCTTACAAAATGTGATTTATCTCTGACCACACATAAAGAATTTCTCTCCGATTTTAACAAAATAATGTAGCACTTGGGGGCAAAGATGCAGCCCAGTAGCCCTGCACTGGAGGCCAAGATGGAGAAAATCTCCATGGCCACCATGGTCTTCCCCTTGCTGCTGTGGTACACAGGCAAGAAAGTGACCCACACACTGCAGAACACCAGCATGCTGAAGGTCAGGAACTTGGCTTCATTGAAAGTGTCAGGCAGGTTCCTGGCCAGGAAAGCCACAGTGAAGCTCACCAGGGACAGGGAGCCCAAGTATCCCAGGACACAGTAGAAGGCAGTGAGGGAGCCCTTGTTGCACACAATGATGATGTGGCCATGTTCAGAGTGTGGGTCTGTGTCAATGTAGGGTGGATTTGTCCCCATCCAGATGCCACAGAGAGTGAGTTGGATCAGGGAGCAGATAGGGATGATGGAATTTGGTGCCCCTGATACCAGCAAATGTCTCATCCTTCTACCTGGAGCAGTGACCTTGAAAGCCAGGATCACAGTAATGGTTTTGGCCAAGACAGTGGAAACAGCCACAGTGAACACAAGTCCAAATGTGGTCTGCTGGAGGATGCAGGTGGCTGTGTTGGGCTGGCCAATGAAGAGCAAGGAGCAGAGGAAACAGCAGGTGAGGGAGATGAGCAGGGTGTAGCTGAGAGCCCTGTTGTTGGCCCTGACGATGGGAGTCTCTTGGTGCTTCACAAAGAGCCCAAGAACAGCAAGTGTAAGAAGAGTGAGACTCAGGGCAGTGCTAGTCAGAGCCTTCCCCAAGGGGTCTTCATATGCCAGAAAAGTCACAACTTTTTGAAGACAGCGATTTCTCTGCATGCTGGCATACTGATGATCTGGGCACTTCACACACTGATCCATATCTGGTGAGAAATTCAAATTTTCATTAGTCCAAGTCTTTTCTTCCTTACTCACAAACACACACACACATCAAGTGCATCATGGGATTTATAAAGCCAAATTTTCTTGTCCTCTCTTTTCATTTTCATTTTCACTTTGCAATGCTGGAGGTTTCATTGAAGATCTTTTTCCTGCACTACATTTGAAACAGTTTTGTATGTTCTTTTATATTTGAGAGAGGATGTAAGTATGTCAAACTATTTCCTAGACTAACATCCAAATTCCAAATCTTTGGCAATCTTCTCAGACCATTATAATTACATACACTCATGACTATTTACATCTGTCTTTTCCTTTGTTTCTATCGACAACAAATAAAAAATGTATAGAAAAACACTTCCCTACTAATACTGCCCATTGCCTTATGGTACAGAGAAAATGCACTTATTTTCCAGCTTCTTATCCTAGCAAATTCATTAAAGTAAGTTTCTGTTTTCAGAAAGTATCAATACATCCATTTTTTTCAAAGCTTCTAAATGTCATGCCCTGAGAATTAAAGTAATAAAATATCTCTTCTTCAGGAAAAAGAATATTTCTTAAGTTCCAGTAAATGACATGTATAAAAATATCATGTATAGTTGAATAGAGTAAGTATGCCCATGTTATAAAAGTATAATTTACATCCTGAAAGTTGAATTTAAAACATCTGTTTTTAATTGATAGGTGAAATAAAAAGTACTGTGCGCCTCCCATTGCTGAATAATTTTTGGATAAGCGACATTATTAATTGCACATGTTCTTTGAATTGGTGATTGTTTTGTGAAACACAGAAGATTAAGAAATGCATCTCATACTATGTACGCATTTAGCCCTTCAGACCACTGGGCTCATCATTCTCTATTTGTGTACTCGGATTACTTAAACAAAAGTATCACATCTGCAAGCTCTATAAATATGTATACCCATATTAACTACATGGTACTATGCAAATCATTTTTGAAGAATATCAAAGCAGGTTTAAAAACATACTAAGAAATATAAGGAAAATAAGAAGAGACTCAGGGAGAATGAAGCAAGAGCCAACTGTGCAGGTACTTTGGATTTAGGACATGTGTGTGTTAGGATGAACAGGACCCTATGGGAAGATAAGAAGATTTCTCAGGTTTGCCCTGCCCCACGAGAAGAAGGATGTGTGAGAAGCATTTTTCCAATGAAGATGAAAGAAAATCCAAGAAAAAGTGGGGATTGAGGGAACTCCAAGATCAGGGATCTAACGGTGGCAAAGTCTCATCAGCCAATTCTTATTTCTTGCCCAGAAATGATATTAATAAGTTTTCAAAGATTGCTCTCTTTAAAGTTACACTTAATGTAGAATATCTTTAAAGCCTCATTTCTAAGTCAAACTTTCCTGCTTGTAACATCGCAGAATGATCTCAGTTTGATCATGAGTTGGTCATTTTAGTACGAAATTTCCTAGGACAGTATTGGTGGACCAGTGATATGCATACCACAGTGGAATGCTTGTATCATTGAAAGCTCTAAAAAATTTCCCAAAACTGTCCTATGCCACAAGCACTGGTGGCAACCCACTTGAGTCCCCTCCCTCTACTGGTAGCTCTTTGGTTTTGCTCTAAAATAAATGTTTCTCTCTGCTGGTGCTCTCTAGTTAATACATTTTCCCAGTCTTCTTTTGAAACTCTGCATTGTACTTCTTTTGTGTTGAGAAAGGAACCCACCAGCCAAATGACAATCATGAAGAATACAAACTAGAAAACACCAAGTATAAAGACAATTTTCTCACAACATGATTTATTACACAGTAAAGTATTTCCAAAGTGCTGTTCTTGACACATGAAAAATCTGCAATATTGGATTTCAGTAACTTTTCTGAACCATGTCTCAATCTCTATTCTTGCTTTACCTATAAAGCTCGATGACACAGAATATAATTTTTGACCACTTGAATATGACATCAAAGAGGAATTTTCATTTTGACCACTTCTGCTGGTCCTAGTTAAAAAAATTTTTGCTCTTCGTTTCTCTGGCACAGGAATACTGTTATTGCCTTTGTAAAAGACCTTTGATAGTCTCTCAAAATGGAGCTAATAACAATGAGGATAGCTTCTCAACTATGTGCATGTGCCCATGGCAGCATTCTGGAATGAGCTGAAATTTACCACATAGGCGGTGCCCTTTCCTCATGTACATATTCAGACTCAGTGAAAATAAAACCGCTAGTAATAAGGCTAAATAGTGGTGCAACAATATTTAAATCAAAGACACATCTATGTCACAAACAATAAAAAAACAGGGTGTTTGCCTTCATGCAATCTAAATGTACTTTGAAAAATGCAAAAATGTTAGCACTTAATAATACTGGGCTCCAAAGTTCATGTGGGCTATGGAACTTAGAAAGTAATGGAGTGAGGATTTGGCTCCATGCCACAGTACTTACCTGGAAAGAAGAAGTCTTGAGGTTGATTTCTGGTACAGAAGAAGAAGAACAATAAAAGAGGAAGAATAGAAGGAAGAGGAGGAAAAGAAGAGGAGGAAGAGGTGCAGGAGGAGGAGGAGGGGGAGGGAAGAGAAGAAGGAGGAGAAGAAAGAGGAGGAGGAGGAGGAGGAGGAGGAGGAGGAGGAGAATACCAACAGGAAACGTTAATATTATGGAGGGAGAAATGGAACATTCTAGCTTAGCTGTAAGGGCAGCATAAGTGTGAGACCAGCTTGAGGAAACTTAGTGGGTTTAAATAATTTTAACCTGTTCAATGACAAGTTAAGTATTAGACCAGTATTAGAGCAGCTTTGATTCATTCCACAGCAATAGAAGGAAAGAAACAAAAACTAGGAAAGGAACAAAAAAAGAATGAAACAGTACAATTTAAGACAAAGTATTTTTAATGGGTAATAGTACTAGAAACAAAAGATATCAAACTTTAGGAAGAAAGGCTATTTTCAGCATTGAGGTCTTCTACAAGACATTTTCTGTGTTTTGGAAGGATCAATAAACATAAAATAGAGCTGGAGTATTTCCACCTAAACCAAGCTTACCTGTGTCATTGGCAATCTCATTCTCTGGGCAAGGGTTACAGTCAAAACAACAGGCAGCCTTTCCCTCCTGAGGGGATTTCCTGAATCCAGGATTGCAACTCTCACTGCATACAGAACGAGGATTCTAGGATGGAAAAAATATATGTTGCTAACTTGTTAGAATTTCACTTTACCTTCTCCACACTGGCTACTGGGTCCAAGGTGGAGTTTGTTGTGCTTTGACTGGAATGTGATCTGCAGTTTGCTCACATTCAGAGACATTGCCTGTGGGGCAGAACAATGACAAAACAGCCTGCATGCTCAAAGTTATTGTCTGGATCTAGGATCAAAATTAAGTGTAAGCCTGGGATATTGCTTAATGTCCTCGTGCCTGCCTTGCATGCACATGGTCTTGAGCTGGTTTCCTAGTAAACAGAATTGAAATTAAAGGAACTTTATTTACAAATATTCTGTGAATTTCTAAACATTAAGATTAAAAATGAATAAATTTAAGTTCAAAACAAAAAAAAGAATTTCACTTTACCTTCATATTAGAAAAATAATTTTAAACTGTATACATACACATAAAATTATAAAATTAAGTGCCCTATTTATTTTACTATATGAAGTATATCACCATACACAACAATATGGTGATATAAATGTATTTCTTTCCTATTCATCAGAAAGCTGCTAAATAAAGTATTCAATTTAAAAATTATGCATCACAATATGTGGCTATTTTCATGATCAAAACTGGACGCACAAAATACAAGCAATAATTTTATCTGTGATTATCAACATGCATTGCTCTGAGTTCCAACATACCTGTGTAATCGCAGAGGCCCACTCTATCATGTCATCAGATAAAGATAACTGTTGGCCAAGTGGAGAGTGTGGGGAAAACATCCCTACATTGACCTTAAGTCTAAGGCCTTCAGGAAAATTCCAAGAATTGAGAATGTCATACCCCTTGTGCAGCTTTCTTTCATCATCCAAGTTCACTTGGTCTCCAGCAAGATTATTAAATTGAATATTCTTCAAAAAGGGGTGGAGCTAAAAAGACACATCATTCTGCTGTGAACAAGGCCTCATGATGATGACAGAAAACATAAATGTAGAAAAGTACCTAGATCATTTTATTTCATTTCCATAATGAAAAGTTAGCACTAGCATCTACTGAAATAGAAAGAATAATACACCACGGATGTCTAAAATACAACGTTCCCAAAATTTCACTTTGTGTAGAAAATGTTTCACATAGAACTACTTAAATAGTGAGTTGATGTATTAGACAAAGCACAACTCTGGCACCTAAGCTTTAAGAGTTATTTACTATCTGATTGTGCCCAGCCTTTAAAATGGTATTATCTGTGCACAAATTTAAAGGAAAAAATTAATGGAATAAATCAAAATATAATTTACAGTCATTTCAATTCAAGTATGCCTACAATTTTTTCAACTTTGCATTAAGTATTTCAAGAAAAAATTCATAGGTTTTTTTCTGAAAATATTAGGTGGGCAAGAATTTGTAATCCCTTAAACAAAAGCAATGATTTTGCCTATCAGATTGCAGCTTGGCGGAGACACAACAGTTGGGGGTCATTTCTACCAAGCGGAAGATTTGCTTCCTTAACCGTTAACCTGGTATATAATGTCTTATACTGCTGGAGAAAGAATTCAAACTTTGTGGCTGTGATGCATGGAGAAAACTCAAAGACACGCTAATGTGATTGCATGTTATCCAAATGAAGATATATTACCTGCCAGGCAGAATATTCCCTCACACCGATACTTCTGACAGCTGAGTTTTTCACATGTTGAAGAAGCATCTCATGGAGAGCATGAGCCACCGCGTACACAGCATTGTATATGTTGTAACTCTCGTCACTCATGCCTGGGTCAAAACGATTCACAGGCAGCTGTGCTAGAGAAGCATTAGCTGTACAGTTCTTCAATGCACAAGAATCTGAGAATGAGCAATGGAAATTTGCATACCAATACATAGTGAGATAAGTGTCTTCTGGGTATTTAAAAGGGTTTGCTTCCTGTACAAAGTCTTCAAAACCAGAAATCTCTTCGTGATGATTTGAAAAAATGAGAGTCCCGTGGAATGAGTCAAGTATGAAATTGATACCAGCCATGTCAGCCTGCCATTGTGCGTTTGTCACCCAGACTCTCCATGTCACGAAATGTTGCCCTATGTTGTAGTTTACTTCATTTAGACCACCACTTTCATAGTAAATGACAACAACATTCACTAGCGATGTTTCACTTGTCAGGATTTCAAGAGGCTGTAGATTTGAGACGTAGGACACAAGAGGAGTTGGGATAAGTTTCACAAATGCTGCACAAATGCTCTTCTTGTCCATCTCTGTACTCACGTCCGAGAGAAACTGAAGACCTTTATGCCCTTCTGTGACAATAAGCCCCACCCAGCTCCAGCTGAAGTGATGCATCAAGGAGACCATGCCAAGAGCCAGAGATGCATCCTTTGGGGCCACTTGATAGAGAGAAGGAAAGAGGTCATTGTCACTCAGCATAGGATCAAATGAGCCAAAGGAAACCTAAAAGGAAGAGAATTTGGAACAATATGCATAAATGTATTGATAAAAGCACACTATCAGAACCAATTTAGACTAAGTAACATTTGGAAATAATTTAATGTGTATTGTCATTTCCTGAAAGTAACTTATCAGATATGGACTTTTAAGGAATTTCATTGCATTCTTTCCTTTCTCCTTGCCTCAACATTGAAAAATGACAAACCCATGTGTCTCTACTCCTATCCTTAAACTGTTACACTTAAAGGGCCCAACTCATAGCTTACTGGACTAAAATGCCTGCTTAGGCAGACCACAGTGGCCTGGGTTTGATCACCAGCTTGCTGTGGCAGCCCCAACTCCAGTACGCACTGAGATGATATTGAGACAGGGAGAGGTGGTGTGAGCCTGTAATCACAGCATTTAGGGAGCTGAAAACAGGTGGATCGCTGTGAGTCTGATCTACATAGTGAGAGCTATAGATCTTCTATCCTCTATATTAAATTCATTAAAAAATTACAACTTGAAAGATGCAGAAATCCAGTCTCTTCTTATTATCTCCTTGATTTCTATGAGAGTGGCAAACAAAAATACCCTGTTTCACATTTTTCTGTCCACTACCCTCACCTGTGGAAATTTGTAGAGCTCCAGCAGGCTTCCAGTTTGAGTGGCTGTTGTCCATGATGCTCCTGTTATCACTGCTATTGATTTGGTCTCTCTTCTACAGGAGTAATTGGGGATCTCATCCTGCCCTGTCAGCAAACTGAGGGAATTCTCCAGTGTTCTCCAATGACTATAAAGAGAATTTTGGAACTCATATCCCAGAGATATGTTGGGTAAAATATGAGGACTCCTGTTGATCTCCTCTATGGCAAAAATGAAGGCTAGAAAATGCTGGTAGTTATTGGGCAGAAGCCTGCAAAGGGAGCAGAGAGGTCCTTATGTGAAACACTTAGTTCATGATGCTCTTCTAAACTAACAAGGCCCATTACAAACCGATGATGTGGCCTTCCCCACAATCCTTCTTAAGAACCTAATTCTAAATATGGTGATGTTACAAGTTTAATTGGGGGGGGGTAATTAGAATTAGAGCAGTCCAAAATGTAGATCTCTCATGAGTGATATGAGAGTCACTGTAGGACAATGGAGAGAGTTGCTCCATCCTTCTGCTGTGTCAGAATATATTGAAAGAACTGCCTCTAATAAAGTGGAAATCAGGATTGGGTGAAATCAAGATATAGCATGTACACACACAAATGCCCTATGTTAAATGTTATCGTTGTTAATACAAAATGCACCAAAAATTTAATTTAAAAAATAAAGTAGAACTGGGGATTGTACTCAGGCCCTTGCTCTCATCAGGGAAGCGCTTACACTACAGAGCCATCTCCCCGGCCCCTTCCTTTATACTTTTGATGAGATTTGTTAGGGGTTTATGAATTTTATTTATTCTTTCAAATAATCAATTTTTGATTCATCAATTCTTTGTATTCTTTTCTTTGTCTCCATTGCAATAATTTCTGCTCTAATCTGTAATCTGTATGACTTCTACCTTCTTTGTACTTTGGTCTGACTTGCTTTTCTCTTTCTATGGGTTTGAGGTGCAGCATAACATTGTTTACTTGGGCTTATTCTGTTTTACTAGTGTGCCAATTGACTATCATAAATTTCCCTCTTAAAACAGCTTCCAGCCAGATGTGGTGGTGCATGCCTATAATCCCACCGCTCAGGAAGCTGAGACAGGAAGATCGCTGTGAGTTTGAGATCAGCTTGAGCTACAAAGCGAGCTCCAGGCCATCCCGAGAAGCATAACAATAATTGTCACAAGAATCTCAAAGACAGATAAAAAAGACAAAGACAGCTCTCATTGCATCCCACATGTTCCAATAAATATACCTGCCTTTTCATTGAATTTTCAATACTGTTTAAGTTCAATAATTTCATCTGTGACTCAAGGTTGTTCAGGAATTTGTTATTTAATTTTCATATACTTGGGGTTTTTTCTCAATAATTTTAAGTTTAATTGAACTATGGTCGTATAGCATGCATGGGATCATTTCCTTTCCATTTGCTTAAACATGCTGCATGTGCTAGTACATGATCTATTTTGGAGAATGTTCCATGTATGTGCCACTGAGCAGAATTTGTGTTCTGATTTTGCTGGGTAAAGCACTCTGTGTATATCTGCTAAGTCCATTGCTTTACAAGTTTGGTTTAGTTTTGCATTTCTTTGCTGATTTTTAGCCTAGTTGACCTATGTCTTTGTAACAGTGGCATGTTAAAGTCCCCCAGTACAATTGTATTGTTTTCCACTTGGTTTTCTTGTCTGTTGAAAGTTGTCATCTTATTGAGTTGTGTGTTCCAACACTGGAGACTATATATATATA